ACATCGTGCGTTTTGGGTGTGGGGGCGCACACATCTGCGACATTGAAAGACAAAACGTTCTCAACTGGGAAGAGAGGAAGAGGCGTATTCTTTGGCTCTTAAATCATTTGGCCAAACACATCGCAGTTCTGAAGGGGGTGGGGCCATGGCAAGTCTAAAGTATTGATTCTTTGTCTATTGTATCAGCGAATGACCCTCTCCAGAAGTGACCAGACGCTTCTTTGTGTTCTTCTTTAGTAAGTAAAGTTCAGCCCAAGGGGAAATACATAAACAGGGGGAGTCAGATGGCTCTTGACAGATATAAGTCGTTGTAGAGTCCCTGGAAGAAAAGAAATGGGTGAAGTAAAATGTATAGATGAATTTGGTTCCGGTGTATTCGTTATCAAAATGATCTAGAAGGACCTTCGTCTTTGAGGTTGATGATATTTTTGGTTTTTTTTTTTTTTGACTAGTCAATTAAGGAAATGCTAAATTAGGATTGGCTTTACTCTAACATATTTTTGTGGAACATAAAATTAAATTGGGAGAAAGTTATGTATCTTTAAAGTATAATTATGCCTTTACTAAACATGTTTTTTTCTCTCTCTCTTTTTAAGGGCGACCACCGATGGTTTTTTTCCTCCATTCCGTGTCCATGAGAAAATGATTTGTAATATAGCCAAGACAAGCTGGGATTTAGAAACTCGTTCCAACTTAAGGAGTGGGGCTATTATTATTAATGACTTTATTTATCATGACCTTATGGCTTTATTATCAGTGCATTTGTTAGCGCTGGATCACAATCTGTTGTGTTAGGAATTTTGTACTTAGTTTAATTACATACTCTGTATATTTAATTAATTAGTTAATTAATTAGTAGGACCCAGCATTCATTGTAGTAGTTTTGAAAATCTGACATAATTTTAAATGAAAATAAGGAAATTTGGCGACATTAAATCTTTGTTTATGTATACAGAATGTACTTTTACTTTCAAAGGCACTATAGTTTTATTGTTTTAATTATTAGGTTTGTGGTTAAGTAGTGAAGGATTTTTTTGGTTTGTGCTTTCTTGAATGTTTTGTTTAAGCAAAAGGAAATGAATGAATGTAATTTATTGCTCCGGTGTCCATTTTGAAAATCAAGAGGGGGGGGGCCTGAACAGTGCCGGCCATTTCAAGAAATGAGTTTCTGTGGAGTTGCTTGAGAAGGAGCCATTTTAACATCAAGTACTTAAAGTTGTTGATTTGTGATTTGATAAGTGACATTGATAAATGTCAATTATTTATAAAGTAGTTTGAGTAACCAGCAATGTATGAAGACATCTAGGGGTTTCAATCTAGAACATTCTCATGCTTTGTCCTTATAACTAATGGCAGACAAGGTGTTTACTGTTAGAATGGAGGAAACTACTAGCCATAAGTTAAAAGCAACTGGTCACCCAGAGGGTTTTTTTAAATCAAAAGTTCCTTACATTGATTCCAATAAATGACCCCAAACTGGGGACAATAAATGACACTTATACAATGCAGCAGGAAGTTTCACCGAGACTTTGGAGCTGGCAAGAGTGATCCAGATGTTACCAAATTGTCTCAATTTAATTAATCTCACTTTTCATCTACTTTCTGAGGTAAGAGTCTCCCTACCCCATTATCTGCCATAGCCCTGCTTTCCACCAATACACTTTCCCAATGTTCATGGTGAGGAGGTGTGAAAGCCACACCCTGCACCTCACCAGCAGATCCTGGAAATCTGACAAAGTCGTAAGAAGAACTGGCTTATAAAAAGTCCATCATCTTCCAGTCATAAGTCCTAAGAAGCATACATTGTACTTAATTTTCACCAGGGGGCAGGGCAAGGAGAGGCTCCCTTCAACTCACGGAGACTTTCTTCATTCGCAGGTACCCTGAGCGACCCCCACCTTTGCTTACTCCGAAGGGATGCAGCAGCAATTCATGTTTTGGAGTATTGTAAAGGTTCAAAACATGAAGCGCTGCAACACCCCTTCGCGGGGAACTTAGAAGGTGGGGGCCTGCAGAACAGACCCGTGTGGGTTCTCCTAAAAAAGCCCCAAAGCAGGTAGGTGGGGGGGCAGGGGCTTGTCTGTCTCTTCATTCAGGACAGGGCCTTAGTCTAGTAAGGGCCACTCTACACTGTTCAAGGGCCTGGGAGGGGGTGACTGCTAAGCAAGATGGCCATGCACTTGGAGGAGGGACAAGGTAGCCTGGAAACAGCCCACCACACTCAGTCGTGCCCTAGCAGCGTCCAAAACAGTACTGCAGTATTTGGTAAGCTGGAGTATTGTTTCCGCTGCTCGGGTAAGTCTGGGACTAACACATGGGCACACCCACCAGGTAAGTTTCAGTCCATCGCCTGCAGCGTAGGCCCCAAGGGGAGCAAGACTCCAGAACAGCTCCAGACTAGAGCTTTTGTGTTTGTCTTCCGTGAAACATTTGCCCATCTGTGAATATGTGACTGGGTGTGACAGAAACTTTGTTGTTAGCACCTCATTCCCTGCCCAGGTAAAACTGAACCGACTGGAAAGAAAGCACTTCCCGATCACCTAGTAGAATACCACCCGCAGGACAGCAATGAATAAAGTTTGTCTTCAGTCCTCAACAACAAGATGGGAGGGGGTTCCCGCAAAGGAATATGAAGGGGTCCGAAAGTGGTCAGAAGGGTGACTTGAAGCAATCCCCATTTCTCTCTGCAGTTCCTACTGAAGGAGCTTAGGTGCTGTATAAAAAAGGACTTTAGGGGTCAGGAAAGATTAAGGGTCCCGTGGGGGTGTCCCTGGATCTCAGGCATCCAAAAGAAGCACCTAGCCTTGGTGGTGGTGAACCCCAGATGACACAGTGAGGAGCCCTAACAGAGTGACGTGCTACATTTCTAGACCCTCTTAGTCCTCATTTCCCAAAGTCATCACACAAGTCTACCCTAGCAGCAGGGACTCAAGGGACACCCTTGTCACTGCCTGGAAGCTTAGTATTGACAGGCTGTAAGAAAATGGCAAGCAGCACCACAGCTACGTGCTGTGACTAATGACCAGGGCACCTCTATAGTCCTCTCGTGCTACCTCCAGTTCCTAGAGGAGCCCTTTGAGCCTGCAGTGAGAAAAAGAGGTCCAAGAGTCACCTGGGAACTGGAGAAGAGTGTTAATTAAATGAGCAAGGCCTTACTTTTCCTGTGAAAATCACTTTATATTGTCTGGAGCATGGGAATGTAAAGGAGTATTGGAAAATGGGGTGGGGCGAAATCTCTTTGCTTTGTCATCTTTAAAAAAATAAAATACACATACACACACCCTTCTGGTCTGTATGAGCTACCTTGTAGTGATCTTCCCCAGGGACTGGGCCCCGGCCCCCATAAAATTTACAGTTAGAGGAGGCCTTGTGCGCCTGGGAGTCTAGCTCTAGCCAACAAATGCCTTTCTCCCAGACTCCCTTGCGCTTGAGCAATGTGTGGGAGGTGGTTTAGGTTCCTTTGGGCCCCCAAGGACCCCCGGGATCCCAGGAGCACCAAGAGCCCTCTGGACTTCGGCCAAGCCTTGTCTCCATCTCCCCCTTCCACTTTTTGAAGCCACGCCCCCAGCTTCTGCCCCACCCCGCGCCCCGTGGCAGGGCCCCTCTGTCCCTGCTTCCCCAGGGCAAATGGCTAACAGGTTCAGGCATCCGCGTTCCTATGCAATGGATTGGAGGAGGGGCAGTTTGAGACTCCTTACTCTCCCTCACCAGCTTCCCTTCTCCCTTTCCGCTGTTCAACAGGCTTTTCCCTCAAACCAGAGGAAGAGCCCCGGGGGGCACAGACAGCAC